CATGACATCCTAAACTAAGCAGAAGTATTTCCTTACATTTTTTTTAATTCCTCAAAAACTTTTGTAACCCTAAAGAGGTCTTATTGTATGAATGTGTGTGAAATTGTTCAGAATCAAAAGTACAACTGAACAGTCATTCCCAGTTTCCACTCTAAACAACATACAAAGGGAGGAAAAAATGTCATCAACAACTGAAAGGTAATGAGTTATTTTAATATTTAAAAGGATATCCAGGTCCCACTGAAATCAACAGCAAAACTTACATTGAGTTCAGCAGGGAAATGATTTCAGTCACCAAATAAAACAAAGAAAGAACAAACATAATATTCTCAAAATTAGTAAATAAATAGAATTTTTAAATTACAATTTGGAGGGGTTTTGAATGGTCTTTTAAAATTATGCTGGTGACATCTTAATTTGTACAGAGATACTTGCAGAAAGATGAAATTAAGTTCTACCTGGAATGAAGTTATTGCATTCAGTCTGAATTATAATTTCTCAGGAAAAGCTAAATTAATGTTTGTTTTGTTTTGTTTTGTATGTAAGTAAGTATACATGTATCTCTGATGCTCCTCATTTCTGCCAGGACCAGAATCAGTAGGCAAGAAAAGCTGTTAAGAGTATTTCACAAAGCCAGACAATATCCAAAGTCTCTCACAAGAGCTTTTCTCCTGAGATTTCCTGACAACAGGGTTTTAGAAAATGCAGATAAGCCTTGTATAAGTATCTGAACTTTAGAAGGCTTATCTGAACCAAAACATCTCCAGACTTTGGTCATCCAGTCCCACTATTTAGTGTTTGTTATACACATGCGTCTCCACAAGAAGGTACAGGTGGCTGGATTTTGCTGCCCTCCTTACCTCAGTTTCTCAGAGGGGATGAGATGAGCTGACAGTTCCTTCCAGAGTCACAAGTTTCCATAAGCACATGGAGCATCTAGAGCAATACAGAGAAGAAACTCTTTAGAGCACTTTCCTCTTCTAGTTCCTTGGAGGCATTCCCATGATACTATGCCCAGTAGCTCACATGCATCCCTAAATTTAGATTCCACTCTGCACTGCCACAGTACCACACTGGTCTTACCAGACCTGTTTTCAAGTGCTGCATTGTTTGCATGTTTCTGTTATCTCCCCTCCCCCCATTGTCTAACAATTAGTTGACGTTCCATGACAATAACACAAAGACATGTCAAAGCTGGTAAAGGCAATTCAAATTGAAACACCTCTTTCTTGGTCTCTGTTGAATCTTACTTGGATTTTCACCAGTGTCCTCAGTCACTCACCCCTTATTCAGAAATAAATAAATCCTTCTCAGACGTCTCTTTGCTCCAGTCACTTCCCAAGAAAACTATTCTATACTGCTTCTTTTTTTTTTCCCCCAGGAAAAAATTTTTACCTGAATTTCCCATTCAGTAGCACATCAACTGTTTGAATTCACACTTTTCATGCTCACTGGATTCCTCCTTGTACTACATAAAGTTCCACTTCTGCATAGAGTCTACAGAAAACACCTGACAAAATGCAAAGTCATTGCTTGTCTTGCTGGCTGATCCTGTCATCTTGTACTCTGCTATGTGCATATATCCCTATTTCATTTTTGTAAAGGTATTTCAGGCTTTTGAAGGTGAGGTCTTTTTGAACTCAAATATCTTACAACCTGTATATAAAATGTGGTTCAAGACTAGTGTTCCTGGTGAAAAAATAGTATTAATTCCATTTCAAGAAACAATAACAATAGATTTTTTTGTCAATAGTCAATTGCACTTGAATTCCACATTGTAGTCAACCGTGAATCATCAAAACCACCCTGTGTTTCCTTGTGTAACCCACTGTTCACACATATTATGATACCTCTTTATGCATCTGATCCATGGACATTTGTAGTCCTGTTACTGTTCAGAGCTAAAAAAATTAGTACTTTCAATGAGGTTCACATTTCACAGTGCAAAACACCTGCGTGAGTTTCTATTTAATTGTTTGCTCTGCCTCTTATCTGTGTACATATCTGCAGAAAACCCACTGCATTTACTGCTTCAGAAATGACAATATTTGTTGATGTTAAATATACACTTAATATTCAAAAATCTAAACGTGAGCTACTCAAATTGAGAGGAGATTAATTTATTCAAGAAGTAGGATTGCTTTCTTAAATCAGAAATAGCTCTTTCATAATATCCATTTACCAAGTCCATCATTCTTTTACCTAAACTTTTGTGAGTGGTAGCTGTGAGGGACATCAATGGAGTTAGATGCAGCTAAGGTATGAAAGTCCTGTGGCTTTTTTTCTCAGACCTGAACAACAAGAGTGCATATCTTGCATTAGGCAGTGCTAGTGGGAAATAGGGGCCACAGTACCTTAAAACTCTATGTAATCATCCTCTAGAAAACTCATAATGAGTATAGAAGTCTCTAGGCCTCCTAGACACTGTGAATATTGCAACTTGAGAGCTTGATGGAAGAAAATCATGTCAGTGGAATTAATTGGTGGAATGACTTATCAATAAATTCTCTGCAGCTAGGGGTGTAGTCGCCTTGTGCTTTATGTTATTTGCAGTAAAATTTCCTGCTTTCTGTACATCCTCTATACAAAGCTTCACTTCTCAAGTCTCAGCTCATGGCTCTCAAGACACATATGGATCTGAACCTTGCTACGAAACTTGGAGCAGATTTCATGTGGCTTAGCTGGGCTAAATGCAAAAATTCTACAAATTCAAAGGCAGAAATGGTCTCTAATTAAAGAGAATCTTGTTGGTTTTAAGGACCTTGGGCTTACAAATTATTCCTGTGCATCACTTAGCAGTAGAAATATAAGGAAGTCTTATTAACAGCTCCACTAGAACTGAGATTCACTCAGAAAAAAAATGAAATCACAGAAGTATCAGCAGCACTTCAGTCTCTAGTTACTAAGAGTAAAGGCTAAGGCTAGTGGAAGGAAGACAGAAGGAAATGTTTTTCTGACAGTAACTGATAGACTAGATATATTTAACTGTTTCATTTGAATCAGGCAGAGTAAGCAAACAATTTAAACCACATTTTAGAAATCAGAAGAGCTGTATATTGTGTGTGGAGATGAAACACTGAAAAGTCATAGGTGGCACAGGAAAGTGGAGCTGCGCAACAGCTTGTGTGTAATCTCAGGCTGAAGAGTCTTCTATTTTGAGGAGGCAGCCACAGTCCCTAACATGAGTCTGGAACAACATGTCAGAATGAGAGAGAGAGACTCCTGAGAACTCTAGACATAGACAATAACAAGAATACTAAAATATACAAGAAAATGAAGCTCCAAACAAGCTTGTGGAGGATGAGCACTACTCTGACGCTCTGTACACGCTTAACAAAACTGAGTATCATAAAGCATGCTCACAACACAAAGGCATTTGTAGTTTGAAGTCCACTATACTCAGAGTTTCAGCAAGAAGAATTAAGCACACAAAATACTGGGCAAAACATTCTGTAAAACACATTCAGGGATTTTCTGCTTCATTTTGTCAAGATGATAACAAGGGAAACACATTGAACAAATCTCTTTAAAACAAGAAAGAACTGGAACATGTCAAGATGATGCTTAACACTACACTCTATTGTCAGAAAATCAGAAGAAGGATGGTTTGGGGAAACCCTGAGTATTGCTAAATACATTGCCTCCATTATAGGCAAAGTATCTTAATTTATAAGACCACCATGGACAGACTGTGAAATTCATGCACTCTATGAAAATAACAATTCTTCTACCAAACATACACATATTTTTATTTTGGTTTAGGAAGCATGCTCTGCAGCATTTCAAATAATTTTTTTCATTAACTGTTTGTATACATTTTTTTCATGTAGAAGAAATGTCTATTGTGGTAGCTAGAGAACTGAAATTTTCTTCATTTTTCCTTTATCTTCATGTTAATTTATGCAAGAGATAATAGCATATTTGCTTCTTGGATCTGCTGGCTTCAGAAAATATTCCTATACCTTAAATATTTTTCAAATAAAGAAAAGATTCTCACTTAAAGGCTTATAGTCCTGTGTTTGTGCTGTTTTGTATGGTAATAAAACTTAGTTTCTTATTCATATTCATAACAGTAAAACATCACAAAAAGAAAACTGTATTTCCACTAACTACATCAACATCCAAAGCCATGCAGCACAAACTGAAGTCAACACATGTGGCTCTTTGTGGATGAGCAGTTAGAAAAATCATTTAGATTAGCTATTCTTGTACCCTTATATTCTCCCCTATCAAAATGGGGATTAGTTTCCCAAAGGAAAAATAAGACTTACAGCTTCCTCATTTCCTCTACTGAACTGTCGATTTTCTAATTAATAACATTCATGGAATAAGTAATTAAATTGTTGTAGCTTTTTGTAAAAAAAAAAAAAAAAAAAAAACCACACAAAACCAAAACCAAACCTTATACTTATTCCTACTGTTGTCCAACTAATAGATAAAAGAGGCAGATGCTTTTAAAAGAACAAGTTATGTTCTTTGTAGATGATGCTTTAACTGCAATTCTCCATGAATAACAGATGTCTTGTAATGACAGTTTCAGAGGTTCAATTCATAAAAAGTGTTATAAAGGTATATTATATATGCAGGCTTTTCATGGCATTCAGCATTTATTCCCAAGTACCACTTGCAACTTTTGCTGCCATTCAAATTTTATAAAAAAAAGCAGAACAGGTACATGTCTACTTAATCACCACAATAAAGTCAGTTACACCAGGTTAATTGGCATAATTTCTTGAATTAGTACTTACTTAAGCAATTATCTGTTGTACGTACTGGTTCCAGTTCTATCCTTAGTGTCACATTCACTCTCTGAGTATTAAGCTGTATTTCTGAGCATCTGATAGCAAACTCCTGAAAAAGTGACTAGCTTATCAAATCTAGAACCTATTGCAGTTAGTCAAGGACTCTCCTCCCAAAAATATATATGTACATACATATGTATGTTTATATATCTCTCTCTATGTAAATGTAGTCAGATGAACTTCTATTTTCTTTTTTAGAGAGAAGAGAGGAAAAGAAAAAGACTGATGCAAAGAAGGCTATGACTGAAACTAAGAAGAAAGGTATGGTTTGGGAATGTTTCTTACTGGCCTCATTCAGCTTTTACTCCCACTCCTGGCTCAAATCCCACTGTTTATTCTTAGGTTAAACCTACGCTTCTGACTCTGTATTGTCCTTCTCTTAGTTGCTTAATCACTATTTGCATGTTACCGCTTCTTCAGTGTCTGATCTCTGATGTATTCAGTGCCTGATGCTTTCTACGCTTTTTCTCCGACAAATAAAAAGTCCTGTTTGGTGGCCATCTATGGGCTTGTTAAACAATTTAATGGAATCACTATATATAGCAGGACATAGTGATACTGCCATACACAAAACTCATGGAAGATATCACTTGGTTCATGGTACACCACTTTCTGAAGGTGGAATAGATTTAAATATTTTATAGAATTGCAACCAAAATTTGCAGTGACCAAATTGCAAAGTCTTGATATCCATCTAAATAACATTTTGGATCATTCATTCAAAGGAAACATCTAAAATCCACTAAGGTCTTTCTTTCATTGGAAAATGTTTATGTCATTCATCATTTTTTAATGATCTCATTGCTGCTGGAGCTTAAGTTAAAAGGTACCACATTCATGCACTGACGATTGTCGCCTAGCGTTTGATGAATTATTAAGGGTCCAAATCATCCATAGTTGATGCATACTGATTAATTTTCATTTTCAGCTGATTTCTCCATAGTTAGTTGGGTGCAAGTGCTATAAGGGAATAATCTGAACTAAACTCCCAAATAAGTCACATTTTTTTCAGCATGTGCCCACTAGGACTTGGCTGACTGCATATTTGAGTGTATGATTCAGAGTTCTAGCATATCAAATGACTTTCTTTAATTAAATCTTAGAAAAAGAAGGAAAAAAAGAGAAAGCTCATGAGAAGACAGCTGCCCCTAAAATTAAAAAAGCAGGTAAGAAATTGAAGTCTGTCTTTCTCTGCAGTAGATATCTGACTACTTGGTGTAAGCACTTTCAGGTTTTACACATTTGAGATAGGAGTATATGTAATTCATTATCATTTAATAATCCAAGCTGGATGGAGAGAAAGAGAGAGAGAGAGCTCACAGTATATTTTTATATTTATGTGTGTGTGTAATGTGTTCCCATTATATTAGATATATAGTCTCATACATATGATATATACATGTATCATATGTGTATGTATATAACACATGTCATTTTCAATTCTGTGAGCTTTAGAATTTTGCAAAAATATTAGAAACACTGTTTTCTCTTATGCACTAAATCAATCAAGGGTATAAGTAATTTCAAAGGATGTATGATGTGGAAAGATTGAATGGAGCGAATAAATTTTTGCATGAATTATTTCAAAAATTCAACTCATTTTAAGTAATAAATAGAAACATCAACGTATCAAAACACTTGATGTGGTAGAAAACAGTTACCTTTCTGAAGCTTTACCCATGCCCATAAAATATTTTTTTCAAAAGTTAAAGTCAGTGAATGACCTGAACCTAATCAATTTGGTTTCATGCTATTTATCATAAAAAGATAATTGTTTCAATAAGATTAGAAATTACCATTTGGGTTTTGTCTACATTAAAATTGTTGCAACTTGTCTTTCGTTTTATTTCTGTAAATCTGTAAGGATGTTTAAGGCACAAATGTAAACATATCTTCAGTAAGTGACAGTCTGAAACTGTCTCATTAAAATCAAGTCTCATTAAAATCAAGGAGAAACAAAATGTCAGTCTAGTGGTTTAATCATTATCTTAATACCTGGAAACACAGGTTCTGCTTGCTGCTTTGTCAGACACTTTATATATAACCTTCTACAAGCCATCAAGTACTCAGATGAACCTTTCTGTAGACCAAAGTAATGCCTAAAACCATGAAGAAAGGTTTAAAAGAGGATTGAAAGATTCAGGGCTACAGTTACTATGTAGTCAAGGCAAGCCTTGTGCTCTGTTATCTAATTATTCAAATCTGTTGAATTTTATGAAAAACTGAAAGGCTATATATCCCATTGTTTACTAACATTGTGGATTACGTATGCAAATTCCAATATGCATCTGGCTGCTCTGCCATTGAGTCATTCATGGTCTACATAAGCTTTCCTATTCAAATGTTTATAGATGGGAAGAAAAATATTAATTTATGTTTAGTACAATATAAAAATACACAGAATGACACAGAACACCTTGGAGTACTATCCTGGTAGCCATGTATTTAAATATAGCAGTCTTTTAGAGTAAGGAGTGGCACACTGGGAAGGGATGGGGATGAAAGGGAATACTCTTTTACAAGTTAAGTTGCATATTTAAATGTAGAAACACAGATTTAAAAAGAAAATAAGCTGACAATTCAAATATCTTTTCTAATTTTATTCTGGTTCTAAGCTTGTATTTCACTTGAGAATACAGAATTGTAAAAGATTACATTTTATGGCAGAGCTGCAGCATAAAGTTATTAAAATGTTCATCTTCACAAGCTGTTGCTAAATCCAGTGAGTCATCCTACCAATGCCAGAAAAACACAAATTAGACAAACCGAGACATCCGCACATATCTGTCCCTTTTATTAGCTCTGTAGGTTGCTGCATTTTGAAGAGTTTACTAGCCTTTGTGTAAGAGGATGGTAATCCATAATATATTCTAGCTACACATGTTGCTTCTATTCCTCATTCAGCTTGCTCTTTGAATACATGTGTACTTTCCAGATTTGACTGGCAGCACCTATTGTTATCCCTAAAAGGTTTTAAGCCTGAAATAATTGCCACATTTGATCAACAGAATAGTAGTGCATAGCCCAGTTTTGAAATGAGTCACCTCAATGTCTGATAGTATTTACACGCTTTGGGCAGACACAGCAAATGAGCCACAGAGCACTTCAATCAGCAGCATAGATAAGCATCCATAAGCAAGAGTGCAGGAACAGCTTCCAATTTTCTTACCTTTTCCCATTAAAAGGCTAGGCAGAGGCCACTGCATTAAAAATAAACTCCTTGCCCTGGTTTTCAAATCCTCATGTTACCTCTGTATTTCCCTAATTTTGTGTCTCATTTTGCTTCCCCCAACCTTTGCAATTCCTGAAGCTGACGTGCTTGTAGGGCGTGCTGCCTCCTCACCACCACCCACACCCCTCCCCATGGCTGGCACCCCGGCCCCACCTCTGCTCTTCACCCTCACATACCTCCTTCCACAAGACTCACCTCTGGCAGGAGGCCCATTCACCAGGCTTTCCCCACAGAGGAACGGTGGTGTGTACAGGCTGTCAGGTGCAAGAGAGGAGGAGATGCTCACTAAGCACTAGGTGATAAAAAATCTCTAAAATAATGCTCCGAGAGCAGCACTTCCCTCTATTCCTCTCCATCTCTTCCTCTAACAAATACTGAATATTTTTGCTGATTAATATTTTAGATTAGCTCTTTTGTTCAGGAAACAATTTTATCTCTAGTGTTACCAGAATGGAGTTTTTTATTAACTCCATTAACTGCATCCCTGTGACGTATTTGTTTATTTGCATGCCAGCTCACTCTTTCTCTGTTCCTCTCACCCTCCATTCCTCCCTCGCTCTGTCTCCCTCTCTCTCTTTCTGCTGCTGCAGAGGAGCAAGAGTCATCTAATGTGAAATGTTCTCAGTCTTTAGTACAAAGTGAACTGAATGATTCTTAATTAGCTTTTAAAAATGCATTGTAGATAAAACCACATTAATCCTCTGACCTTCAGCTCGTACAAAAACATCGTGTTAATTGTCCTGAAAAATAGATAATTCCATTGTTACAAACTCAGAGGTCCTGCTTAAACAAACATAATTGTCAGACACAAGGGCCTGGCACAGTCACACTTCAAAACATTTAACAAAAATCTCTCTAGTGCTACTCTGGATAAAGAAGGAGCCACATCTCCAAATCCCCAGTGAAGGCCCTTGCCAAGGCTCAGCAAAGACAAGCCTTTGCCAGGCTATCCCTGTGGCTGGGACACATCGACTCAGAGCGGTCCAGCCTGCAGTCTGACTGAGAAAAGGGACCCTCTTTTAATGTTTTTGTGCCCAGCCCCACAAGAAAATGAATACGCAAAGATTGGTGTTTTCAGGTTCTCATAGTTCCCTTGCAGAGTGTTTCCTGATGGTCCTTTCTCAGCATCTCAACAGTCTGGAGGTTCTCTGTTCCTTCTTGTATCAGATTTCCTAAAAATTCATGTCACACACAGACTTTTCTTTATATTTGATTGCTGCAAACTCCTTTCCCACTTTGTTTTGGTTCTCACAACAAATAACATAGGTAATAAACGAGCTTATAAAGCAATGAAAATGTCAGCCTGGATCATCACACCATTTCCTAAGTAAAGTATTGCTCAGCTGTCATTGACGATCTCGCCTTCCTGTTATCACTGCATAATTTCAAATAATAATGGTAATAAAAATACCTGGGTCTTGTGCAGCACTTCTGGATATTAAATCTTAGAACCACTTTAGAAGGATTGTCAGTGCCTTTTCCTTCACTTTCCCCACAGAGAAATTCAGGTATAGACATGTCACCCAGGCCAGTTGTCCATGTGGCTTATAACGTATATCTTCTGAACGTCAAACCAATGCTACCTCGATTAAAGATCCCAAACTTTTATACACTTCCATTATTTTCCAAGTGAAAAAATGATGTTTAGTAAGAAAATGGGGTTTGGTTATAAACATAAGGCCTGATCAGCTGGACAATTGTTCAAGAATCCCTAGGCTCTGACCCTCAGTCACAAAGGTTTAAGGATTTCAAGGCCAGGTATCTCCCTGAGCAGTTCTGTTTAGTAGAGATAAAACAAGTCAACGTGTGCAGATCCACTCACCCCAGATCAGGGAGCATGATGTGACTTGTATTTTGTCATTGATACATGCATGCTTCCAACAGAGCATCCAAGCCCTTACTGAGGACCATTGCAGCCCCAATCTAAATCAGGGAGCTAGATTGCAGTGGTTGCACATCCAGTGTTGTGGATACATCTGTCATAGAATCATTTAGATTGGAAAAGACCTTTAAGATCAAGTCCAACTGTAAACCTGACACTGCCAAGTCCCACTAAACCATGTCCCTAAGTGCCACATCTTTTATATACCTCCAGGGATGGTGACTCAACTACTTCCCTTGGCAGCCTGTTCCAGAGAATAAATTTTTCCTAATAGCCAATCTAAACATCCCCTGGCACAACTTGAGGTTATTTCCTCTCATCCTCTTGCTTGTTACTTGGGAGAAGAGACCAACACCCACCTTGCTACAATGTTCTTTCAGGTAGAGAGCACTAAGGTCTCCTCTCAGCCTCCTTTTCTGTGCTCTAAACAATCCCAGTTCCCTCAGCTGCAACTCATAGGACTTGTTCTCTAGACCCTTCACCAACTTTATTGCTCTTCTTTCTTCTTATTGCTGGACATACTCCAGCACCGCAATGTCTTTCTTGTAGTGAAAAGCCCCAAACTGAACACAATATTTGAGACGCGGTCTCGCCAGGGCTGAGGATCACTTCCCTGGTCCTTCTGGACACACTATTTCTAACACAAGCCAGGATGCTATTGGTCTTCTTGGCTACCTTGGCACACTGTTGGCTCATATTCAGCCGGCTGTTGACCAACACCCCCAGGTCCTTTTCTGCCAGGCAGATTTCCAGCCACTCATCCCTAAGCCTGTAGCTTTGCCTGGGGTTGTTGTGACCCAAGTTCAGGACCCAGCACTCAAAAAAAAAAAAAAAAAAAAAAAAAAAAAGCAGTGATTTAATAGGAAATTGAGGGAAAATACCATTTTATATAACAACAGTGTGTTCTTTGTTATTGTGGTCTACAGACAGGAAGACAAATTCCTCTGATCATTTTTAAATTCCTGATGTAAACAACAACAAAAAATCTGTTTAATTTTATGACTTTTTTGACTAAACCGTTACTATTGCAGTAATAAGAGAACTACTGACAT